CCTGTAAATATCCTTGTTAGACCTTTATGGCAACTCTAATACTAAACAATTGATAACTTGCAATTACACAAAACCAGCAAGTCCCAACCTCTAAAATTTACAAATTTCCAAAACAAGAGTAATTTTTCTTCTAGGGCTTAATAGCGTGTGATTTGAGAAAATGACAGACATCATGGCCAAATTGTTAATTGTTTTCAAACGGAAATTATTCTTAATACCGAGTTGGCCTTTCAGCATCTGAATTCAGTGGTAGACAAGAATTTCAAAGAAATGTGTGTATCTTTTTGTTTTATAAAAGGAACATACTTTCATGTGCTCTGAGGTTTGAAGCAGTTGAAACTCAACTTGAGAATTTGCTCTTTACATGTTAAAGAAAAGTATTTCCAGATTGTGTTTGTAACATAAGGATGGTTGAAAGTGAAATATAGAAAACCTAATGGGAAGGATTGGAACTTGAAGTTGACCTTCTGTTGAGTGTAGCTCTCACTACCTAAAGGGTCTCCTAGAAGTTGGTCAGAAGGAGAAGCTCCGGTAAAAACACCATAGCTCTTGTCTTTTTCTAAGAGTAAGTATCTGTTTCACCAGTGTGGCCTTTTCAACAAGAATATGGTGCTCATGTACGGGGAGGTACCTGCAATGGCACCATTGAGTTCTGGGATTTGTCAACATGTATTAAGTAGGAAACACGTTAGTGTGTTTCCTCGCCGGTAGTTATGATTTCTCCATTCCGCTCTTGGAAATGGCCCATGGGTTTTTAAGACAATGACGTTCTTGTGTTCGAGTATATTCCAATCCTCCTTGAAACATAAATCTTAAGTAAAAGCTGACCAAATCTGAAAGATGTGACTCTACTGTCATGAATTAATTGGGTAAGGGCCTAGAGCCCTGTCTTCCTGGGGGTTGTGACATAGTAACTGGAAGGGAGAATCAGTAAAAAAAAGAAAATTTCAACAAGTGCAAAAGGTCAGAGGCTGCTGTGAACCAGAGAACAGTCATCATCATCCATAATTCACAGGCAGTGGGTAAAATAAAACACAAGGAAACTGTGTTTTCGAGGAGAAGACACTTGGCTTACATCATTTTGTTTTTTATCATTGTTGTTTTATCATCTTGTCAAAATGAGAACAGAAATATAAAAATGAATGTCAAAAATCAGGTGAAAAAGCAGAGCTCTCAGCCAGCAGACAGTTGCCAGTGCTGACCAGACTGCACTGTGTCCGTTCCCGATCTGCCACCCTAGACTCACACAAGAGTTCTTGACTGGACCCAGAGAGTCTGCCCTGGAGAATGTACTCAAAGGAAATTATCCAGTAGAAAATGCATCATCCATGCATAAAGATAGTATGTATAATAGGCAGAACCAGAAAGAAAGTTAATACCCCACATAAGGAAATGGTTGACTAAAATGGACCCAACTGATGAACTATTATATGATAAAACCATTATACATGAAGACTAAACAGCAACTTTTAAAATGTTGGGCCTCATAGATGAAATTCGAAGGGGTTATGCTAAGTAGAGTAAGTCAGAAGTGAAGGACAAACATCTGATGATTTCACTAATATATGGAACGAAAATAAGAAACACAGCAAAGGAGCAGACAATACTAAACCTAAACAAACCCTAGAAATGTGAGGGCAGAATTGGGGCTACCAGAGTAGGAAGGTGCAAAAGAGGGAGGGACCCCAATGAATTAAGTTGAAGATTATGCCTTGATGATAGTGAAGTAATAAACACCTGACGAGGGGTGTATGCTACCTATGTTTCACATTCAGTATTGTAAACCAGTATTACCCCAATTTAAAAAAATACAATTTAAAAATGAATAAACTTAAGGAGGACAAAAATAAATAAATAAATGTTGAACTTCAATATAAAGTCGGCAAAAAGCATAAAAAGACCGAAAAAAAAAAAAAACATAAAAGTAGTGTGTGCATGAAGATAATGGAATTTCAGATGAATTTTTTTTAGGTTTTCTTTTCTATTGTGCAATAAATAAAAATCACATTAAAGTATTTATGAAAATTCTATTCTATTTAACTGGCTTTTCCGAGAGCAGTAACATTTTGATGATCTATGAAAATAAGTGTGATAAGTACTTTTCATTCATTCTACTACTCTTGTCTTGATTTCTGACTGAAACTTCCATAATAAAATGTTTACTAAAGGAACTAAAATAATAAAATATAAAGTAGACTTTTGTAAGTAAATAGGTAAACAACATACTCATCTTACAAACAGTACCTGATTCTTATCACTAAACACACATTTATTTGAGGTTGTTTAATCATGTGGTGAGATTGCCTAGCCCACAGCTATGCTGACACATACCCACAGTCATACCCAATATCCACATATCCAATATCCACAGTCAGGTAGGTGCTGTTCAAAAACAAAGAATTTACAGGAGGAAGCTGTGAAAAACAGCCAGTTTAAAGAAACCCACACAGAGGGCCACAGAGAAAACGGGCCTCAATATTTCACAGAAGTAGCATAAAATGATAGGAGTATGCCCACATTTCAATTCTCTGAAACTCCATTCTAACCCTGTTGTGCAAACTGGGAGCCCTGAGAACTTCATGCTGGCTTATCCTCACCCCTGCGGGCTTACCCTACAGATGCAGGAGGCCCATTTCTAACTCAAGATTTTGACCAAATGAGAAAACAGGTCCCACTCATATGTCAGGTGTTGTTTCAAGCACAATAATTCATTTAATCCTTAAGTCAATCTCATTTTACAGGGAAGAAAATCAAGTAAAGATTTGTCTGGCCAGCTGAGATACTAAGTGACAGAGCCAGAATGTGAGTCCGAAGCGGCCTAGCTCCAAACTTTTCTGAAGCCCTGTGCTACATAATTCTTCTAATTATGTACAATGCTGTGATGAACAGCCCTGTGCAAAGACCACTTCCATTTGTGCACAGACTTTGGTAGGATATATATCCAGAAACAGGCTATTAAATATGTGATTATGGACCCATTGCAATTTGCTGTACCCAACTACAGCTCCCTGAGGACAGGACTGACTTTTCTCTGGTTCATCAGACATGTGGCACATAATAGACATGCAACAAATACTATGTTTCTTCCTTCACTCATTCAACATTTTTTGTTCTTGTGAGTTTTTATTGACAATAGCAGACACCATGGGAATATCAACATCAGGCATGCCCCACCAGGGAAATGTCCACTCTGATGTTCCAGGGATGTGCCAGACCCCTAAATAGTTCCTCTTTGGGAATTTCTTCCTGTTGGGAGGACTGGACTGCCAGATATCTCTTCACGATCACTACTTCTTGCAGAAAACTTTCTCTTTCTTGGATTTGGAGAAAGAGAGGTAAGTCTTCCATGCCATTCTCCTGAGCAATATCCTGGGGGCTATTCTTTTTCTCTCTTTCTTTTGTTTATCTTTTACTTATTTCCTCACACCCCTCCATTGATCTGGAGTACTTTTCTAAAGGACAATTGTAATCAGAATTTCTTTCCCAAGGAAAAGAGCTTTTCTTCTCCTGGCTTTCTAATGTCCTAGTATTTTCAACAACTTCTTCCTCTCCTTGAACTAAGATTTACAGAACAGCTACTATGCACCAAACACTATTCCCATACTGAGGAATACATGGGTGAACAAATCAGGAAATTGCTCTCTTCACATGGATCTGAGACATCAGTACAAGCACCAGAGAAAATTAAAAGTTAACTAAATTGTGGCATATACTAAAGGGAAAAATAAGGAAAATATGATGAGAAGTAGGAGTTACTACCTAAATAACTGGTCATCAACTAAGGGAGTAAAATATTTATGATAAGTATATTTGTCTTGGCAGCAGTAATAATCATGAAAATGTATAAACAACTCAAATGTCCAATAATGAATGGTAGAAAGTCCCAGCACCTGCCTCACTGAGCCATTAGGAGGTTAAAAGCCTTGGCATACATAAAGGATAAGCAGATTTGCATTCTTTCATGGGGAAATAGGCTTAAATCCCAAAATAAACTATGTCAACAATGTAGTCTGTGACTTGAAAAACACCTCCACAGACACCAATACATAACAATCAGTGAAGAGTAAGATTCACTTGTTAGTTGATTTTGTGCCATCAAACTTCTAACTGAAATTGTCTTAATCTTGAAAGTCCTTTGATGAGAAGGAAACAAATGAATATGAGAATTAGAATTCAGTAAAATGAAAAATCATATAAATTACTGAATTTCTTCAAACATAAATATAATGCCATCAGAAAAAAAAAAACCCATATAGGAAGTGTGAACCTTAAAATCAGAAACTATATAAACAGTACTGCACATTGACTAAAAATGCCAATTATAGGTACTGGTTTTAATTGGACATTAACATAAATGGTAGTTTATCATAATCTAAACAACTCATTTCTGCTTCACCAAAACATACACTCACTGAATACTATGTAGATTTAGCTCACTTTGCTTTGAGCAATTAGGATAGCCTGGCAATGTAATTTGGTTACAATTCCAAAAATTGTTAGTACTAACTCTAAAGACAGACACTCAAGAGTGACTCTGAGTCAGTATTTTCTTCTCATGGAAAGACTTTCAAGTTTAAAACAATTTAAGCTAAAATTTGATAGCACAAAAGCTTCAGTCTGTCATGCCAGCTCTGGCTCCAGACCCAGAAGTCGTGCTTTGGGGTCAGCATCTGGAACATCTGCTTTCACATTAAAAACATTTCATGCCCTGTTTCTTCAACCAAAAAATTTAGTTTGGTTACTACAACAGATGCTTAATCACCAGGTATAATTTAAATTTGTTTTCTTTTAGTTTTTCCTGCTTAGCTTCTCTCTGACAAGAAGTAGTAGGCTTAATTTCACTCTGATCATGATTGCTTAGCTACCTTGGCCATTGGGGTAGGTTAGGATTTGCAATAACCCTTCCTCCCCCAGCCCCCAGCTTTGTGGGGCATGCCCTGATCTCTCTGACTTGGGAGTGGGGCAAGACCTGCTGAGAAACCCCCAAGGCACACACTCACCGGGTGCCTGAGTCTGCACAGCCAGTTCTTCCAGAGAAGGACTCCAAATTGGTGCCCAGCCTGCCCCATGCCTGCCATCCTGCTGGTCAGAAAGCCAGCCCCTGGCCCCTGCTTATATCCGAAGGCCCAGGCAAAGACATGGTGATTACTATCCAATCCCAACGAAAGTGAGTGATGCAAGAGAGGTTACTGGTGACTGAAAAGGCAGGCATCGAATATCCTTCCTGTTCTGCCTCTGTTGAGAAAGTTTACCTATTCACTGCTCATCAGGGAAGAGGGTTACAAGAGGCATCAAAAAGTCATCTGCACATTTATCACTGTCCTCTCTTTCTCCCTGATGTTTATTGTATGAATGTATTCTCCAATCTCCTGAAACACCAGCTGTCATCTGAATTTATCAAAAAAACAAAAATGAACCCAATTTTTTGAAATCCTGCAGCAGAAAATTGAAGGAAAAGGAGATGAATTGACGTGGATCTGGTAATGGTGGGTGGAGGACGGAATGGATGGGAGGAGACTCCAAGATCACTGACACTCCATCATCCCTTCCCCCTAAGACAACAATAACCCCCATCACCCCTTTCCCTGTAAGATCCACACACCAGAGATCACAAGGAGTGTGATATCAGGGCTAAGAGACAGAGTCACCTTTACTAAGGATTTTTTGTAAACCCAGATGACACTGGTAAAATAAGTCAGCCACTCTCCCACCTGTTATTTATCATTGTGACCCAAAAGCAACTGTGAGCTGCAGAGTGGGGGCCTCTGGCCCCTTCTCAGAGGGTGGCCTGTGGGCTACTGCTGAACTATCATGGATTCTTGTATGCACATGCTTCTTTTTTAATTAATTGATTGATTTTCTTGCATCATTGTTAATTTTGAACATTATTTGCTGTCTCCTCTCAGTCCTCCCTGTGTTTTCCCACCACCCAGGTGCCTGTGGTCCATCTGCCCGGGTCCCTAATGCTCTTCCCTCCCCTGTTTTGACCACTTTTCTTCACCCTCCCCTATTGAATGCCTCAGATCTATGGTCACCTTGCAAGTATTTTCTTAATCCTAACCCCTTGTTAGTTTCTCTCCATTCCAGGTATAAATGAAACCATCAAATAATTTTCTTTTTCCCTCTCTCTTATTGCTCTTATCATAATTCCTTCCATAATTCCTTGTTGCTACCAATGGCATGAGTTTATCTTTTTTGGTCACTAAGTGTATTCCATTGCATACACTTGTCTTTTTTAAAATAATAATAGATTAGTTTATTTTTACATCACATTTGGTACCTTTTTCCATCTGTTACAATCCCCGTGGGCTTCCCACTATCAATTCACCCATGTGCCATCACCATAGTCCAGTGCACTTCCCCCCCCCCACCCCAGTTTTTTATCCCATTCCCCATTCCAGCCCCTTAAAAGATCTCTGGTATATAGTTGTTCATTATTATTATTATTTTCTCCCCTGGTCCTTTATACTCCTACTATGAGTGAAACCATCTGGTATTTTTCTTTTTCATTCCGGATTATTTCACTAAGTAGGATCCCTTCCAGTTCCATCCATGTTGCTGCAAAAGGCCATGTGTTTATCTTTTCGATTGTTGAATAATATTCCATTGTGCATACACTTGTCTTTTTAACAGGCAACTGGGTTCAACTCCAAGAGCAGTATCTCTGCTCATCCAGCTGAGGCTCCTGGGTTCCTGTTGCATCCACTTGTGGCCAGAGGGACCTTGAGCAAACTGGCTCTGTGGTCTTCCATTTCAAAAAGGACTTTTCACAAGCTCTGTGAATACTGTCAGTGGCTGTTGCAAGAGGAAACAGATACAGGCTTCAGTGGAGAAATTGGTTATATTATCCTCTAAACTTAATCTTTTAAACATTTTTTTTGTTTTATCTCATACTGGTATTTTGCAACAGTAGAGTAGATGCATTCCTTGCTGTGGTGGGGACTGGTGTGCCTGATCCCCAGGTGACCTCTGCCCTTGATCTTTACCAAATCAGGAGTTCTGTTGGCACCACTGTCCTGGCACCCTTTGAAGATAACACCGCCTATCATTTGAGACAATCGCTATTTTTAAAAATGCTATTTTATGGTGAGGGGAAGTACACTGGGCTATGGTGATGGCACATGGGTGAATTGGTGGTGGGAAGCCCACGGAGATTACAACTGAAATGGAAAAAGACACAAAATGATGCAAAAATAAACTTATAATATAAAAACACTATGAAAAAAATCTATGCTATATATACACATATAACTATATATAAATGCCATTTTAAGGGAAAATCCCATTTATTTTCCCATTTATTTTCATAACAACCAGGTTTTTTTTTTAATATATAAGTACATTATTTCACCCATTGCTTCCATGAAACAATGCCACAAGCATAGTGCATATATCACAGTTGTATCAATGCAAATGGGGTTTATACCATCCAAACTTGTTCTCCAGGCTTTCTGTTCCATACACCAAAGAATTGAAAACAGGGACTCAAGCAAGTACATGCATCCCCATTGCTAGTCACAATCACCAAAAGGTAGAAGAAACACAAGGTGGCAAATATACACAGCAGAGTGTTAATCAGTCACCAAAGGAGTAAAATTCTACTGTGTGCTATAACATGGATGAAGTCAAAAGACTATCCCAAGAGGAGGAAGCCAGGCACAATGGCCACGCGTGGCACATCCATACAGGTAACATATCCAGAATAAATCATCAGAAACAGTAGACTGGTCATTGCCAGGGGCCGATGGAGGGGAGTGAGGAGAGATGTTTCGTGCATGAGGGGGGTTCCCTTGGAGTGGAGGAAATATTATTGGAACTAGGTGGAAGTGCTGATTGCACAATATTGTGAATATACTGCATGTCACTTTAAAATGCTTAGTTTTAAGTAAGTGAATTTCACTTTAGTAAGTTTGTTTGTTTGTTTGTTTTTTAATGAATTGCTCTGCTCATCCCCTAACCATTGAACAAGCTCACAATAGCCCAGGTGCATTATGTTGCTGGATGACTGCATTGTGAAACCTGACTGTTTTGACCACACCTACTGCTGCTGTGGTCTTGAGTGTTTTGTAGATGCCACATCATCATTCCCTTGGAAACTGGGCAGCAATTGTCAAAGTTCTATTTAAAAGAACCATGGCGGCCCCCACCCCCCCAACAATGGCTCACATGATTGCTTAGTGTGCTTTTCGCTGATTACTGGAGATAGTCTATTCCCTTTAAATACTGCCCCAGTGTACTGCCTAATCATCACGCTATAGTCACCCCCCCACCACACACACACAAAACTGCCCTACACCCACACAAAGCTCAATACACACATACCTTACCACAAACATAAATATATACACACCACATGTATGTGGATGCATGCACACAAAACACATACCACATACATACACAGGGAGGTTGCCATTGGCAGCCAGCTCCTGCTCTAATCACCCAGTTCCCTTCCTCTACCTTCTTTCCCTTTCCTGACCTTCCCTTCCCTTTCTTCTCTTCCTTTCCCTTCTTTTTCCTTCTCATTTCTTCTTTTTCTTTAGGATCCCAAGGAAGCTTGAAGAGCCTCATTAAGTTGTAAATAATAATATTAAAATGATAATAAAATTTATTAGTTGAGTGATAGAAAGGATGTAAAGATTTAGTGGTAAAAAAAATGGGGCCCTCCGTGGTGTTGGTGCAGCTGGTTAAAGCATAGCACTAAGAAGCTAAAGCCACTTCAGCATGAGTTCGATCCCCACCCGCCCTGGAGATGATCCCACAGGGCGTGGTAGACCTCTCCTGACCCACCCACTGCTCCCCTCAGCAGTATGCTTCATTGATCTGCCTGTTCTGCTCCCCACTCTGTCTCTGGTGAGACCTCTCACCACCCCACACCTCTGGCCTGTACCCCAGTTCTGTATGAATAAATTAATCTTAAAAAAAAAAAAAAAAAGCGGGCCCTCCCTGATTGTGCAGCAGGCTAAAGCACAGCACTAAGAAGCTAAAGCAACTCCTGCATAAGTTAGATCCTGGCCTGCCCCGGAGGTGACCCACATGTGAGGCAGACCTCTCCTGACCCGCCCGCTGCTCCCCTCAGCAGTGTACTTCATCTGTCTGCCTATTCTGCTCCCCACTCTGTTTCTGGTGAATCCTCTCACCACCCCTGCAACTCTGGCCTGTACCCCAATTCTGTATGCACAAATAAATAAATCTTAAAAAAACAAAAAATGAAGGACCTGAGCCCATGAAACATAAAATGCTACTCTCCTAAGTGTTACCCCTTCCAAGGGTGGAGTGGCTGCTGAAAGCAGGGTTCCCTCAGGGCACTTCCCAGCCCTTCCCCACCATCTTCCCAGAGAACAATGGAGTGACATTTGATATTCTCTAATCCAAGCTTTCCTCCTCAGATGGGCATCCGCCCCAAAAGGTGGCAGTTCTCATGCACAGACAAGCCCTCACATAAAGAGCAGTCCGTGGACTGCTGACGGGACAGGGACAATTGCCGTTGTGCTGCGCCACTACAGCATGAGCATTTACTGCATGGAGGTTCTCCTCCCCTCCCTACAAGGACTCTGGATCCCACAAATGACACGGGGTTCCAGCAATCTCCCCTCCCACTTCTACTTCTCCAGGCTGGAGACATAATGGCTTCCTGCTACTGCTAATCTGTTCCCTCACCACAGTGTTTGAATTCTCAGCTCTTCCAACACCTACAGCATGAGTTTTCCATGTTCAATTTCCTTTATTCTTCATGTTAAGGATGACTGGCATTTTCTTGCTAACCCTGATGGTATTCATCAGTACAGAGTTTGCCAACTGGGCCATGAACCAACTCCCCGGGTAATGAGTGAAGGGTGCCCTAGAGTTTGAGGTCACCCTTTCGTTATAATGGAGAAAGTGCCACCATTACACCATTACACTCTCGCTTTCTCTCTCTCCCCCCTCTGTCTTTCTTTCTCTCTCTCTCTCCAGTTCACTTAAAAAAGATCCATGGGGGAATCCTGGGGTCCCTGCTTTCCTCCCTCCCTTTCCCTGAAAATAATCATCAGAGTCACTCATTCCACTTTAACACAATTCAGTCAGTGAAATC